GCCCCATTGGAATGAACCGCCAACTTATCCAGCATTTGTTTTACAGGAAACAAATTTTGTTTTACTAGGAAACACCAACACACACTCTTTCACACACATACACTACAGCCAATTGAGTTAATTGTATTCACCTGTAGCGCATGTTTTTGGACTGTGGGGGAAACCGGAATATCCGGAGAAAACCCACCCCAAAATGGGGAGAAAATGCAAACTCTACACAGAAATGCTAACTGGCCCAGCCGGGCTCAAACCAGGGACCTTCTTGCTGTGAGGTGATTATGCTACCCACTGCACCACCGTGACGCCTGAAAAAGCCATGTTTGTTTTGGTATATTTAATCTAAGTCTGAGATATAAAGGGAATTTCAGACTTATATAGGGCTGAACACTAAGGACTTTTTCCAGTTGGTTGTGAAAACGAGGTTTACTAGCCTCATCCAAATATATATATATATATATATATATATATATATATATATATATATATATATATATATATATATATATATATATATATATATATATATTTAATTAGTTATTTCTTAGCCACATATTTTAAATAATGTTTCAAAACAAGCAAATGCTAGTTGTATCCATGCACACTTGTTTTAAACATAACTTTCTTCTTCAAAAAAAACAAACAATTGTATATAGAGTTCGGTCGAAGGTTTTTTTGAGATGGATTGTTGGTGATTGGAGGCATGGACAGATGAAAATTAAGACTTGTTTAAAAGGATTTAAGACCTACAAGACATAATTTCAGCGAGTTTAAGGCTTTTTAGGACCCTGCAGAAACCCTGTAAAAAGGAATCGTGCATAAAAAAGCCCCGCCCCTGCTCAGTGTTCTGTCTGTTAGTACATCAGCACACTGAAACTAAAGTCTCAGCTGACTTTAAGAACAATTTTAACAGAAAGCTTCTGCGTGGATCCAATTATGGTTATTCAATCCTAAAAATAACTTTACTTTTTTTTATTAAAAATCCTTCATGGAAACATCAATGCCAGTAAGTATATTCAAGAGTAAAATATTCTACCAGTTTGTTTATGGGAAACCTAATGTGTTCTTCTGGGCTCTTAATCATATTTTTTTTGTTTTGCAGTGATGCAACTGAAGAACCATTTTCCCCCTCCAGAAAACATTTTAGTGCTCAAAACAACCATTTATTTCTTAGAGTGAGGAACAACTTAATAATTCAAAGAACTTTCCATGCATTGGAAAGGTTCAATGAATGTAAAGGATCATTAAAGATGCCAATAAAACCCTATTTTAGAACCTTCATTTTATTGAAACACTCCACTTTCTTTTGGAAATAGACTCATTTTACAACTAACCTAGAGTTAAAGAAATGAGTTTTACCCTTTTTGAATGCTATTGAATATTATCAGGCTCTGTGTATTATCACTGCTCCTGCTGCAGCCACCTTCCCACATAGCAAAACTTCTCTGGCCCAGATCTGGCCCACACAATCAGTTTTTGCTTGGCCCACATGCCGCAGTGAATTATGATACATGACTGGACCAAGTCTGGCTTCCATACAAGAGCCAAATTTGGACCATATCTGGGCCAAGTCTTAGCCAAGTTAACAACCCATAACTGGACCTGAACTAGACCAGATATGTTGGTGTCACGACTGCAATGAATTTGAGAAACTTATGAAGCATTTGTGCTATGGACCTGCTTTTTCTTGAAGCGACCTGATAGCCAGAATTTCTTCTTTATTCAAACATAATTTAAATGCATTTTAAAAGTGGGTGAAGATAGGCCAAACTTATTTGGCCCACATATACATTTTGAACATCTGGACCAAATACTACATTTTACATCTAACCCAAGTCTTGTGTGCCATCTTAAAGACGGTGCCACCTGTTTGGCACCACATGCTGTATGCCAGTGCCGAATAAATGCCTGCTGTGCCAGCTTTATGCCAAATCTGGGCCAGAATTCTTTGCTACCTGGGTTGATTATTACGCTGAATGAACGTATAGTTCCTGGCCATATCAGCCTAGAAACTGCAACTTTTCATTTTCTGTAAGTCTCAGCACATGATGCAACAACAGAGGAGTCAAGCTTTAAATATGGGAGAATTATCAAAACTCTTTTTTAAATATTTTGAGTGAGATGCTAATGGTCTAATCCGATTCAATGATCTATGCTAAGCTAATCTAAAAGTGCTCCTGTTAGACTCATAGATTGCCTGAATGCATTTTAAAAATTGGTAAAACTCATCCGTTTAACTCTTGGAGACTTGTAAAATTAGCCTACTTGATACTATAAAGTGAAGTGTTCCTTTAAGGAGTGCACAGTAAAAAATATCAGTAAATTAGCAGCTTTCTATATTTTGCGATTCGCGTTTTTATTTTTCCCCATTTATGTATGCTTTTGAATTGCATTACAGGACCTTGACCTTTCTTCCAACAACTTTTACCCTTAAAAAGTGACTTTTATTAACATTTTTAAGAGTATAAAAGTGATATAATATATATAGTCTGGGTTGGTGTTGTGTCTTACTCTACAAAAGCCTTGTAATATACTGCCATTACATTTTCTGTTATTTTATTTCTCTATATATACTTTATATTATTTCAAGTGACAAAAATGTCAATAAAAGTCTCTTTGATTAACTGTAGAGTTGACTTTTCAACCATCAAAAAACCATCATTTGATATGCAGCTTCTCCTAGACTGCCCAGGAGTCTAGCACCTAGACTGAAACTCTGGGGTGGGTTTCCCAAACACTGACGTAACTCGCGGCTGAACCATGCGGCTGAACCATGCATGCAACGATGCATCGTTTGGGAAAAGATCGACGTAGTGACGAGTGTTTCCCAAAACTCGTAGTCTCTCTGTCGCAGATCTATTGTTTGAACCATGTTAGTTGTAAAACGCCCATAAAGATGCTCTAAACGGGGGGGTAACAACTACTTTAGAGAAGAACCACATCATTAATTTGCGCAAATTATATAGTTTTACACACATTTGAAAAAAAAATCCAATATTTTTTTGGGTAAAAACATGCACTCGCTTTCCGTATTAACTGAAATATATGTAAAAGGCAGATATAGGGCCTGTGTTTCTTAACAGATATTATTGAGAATATTACATATTCTATTCTATAACATAAAATCACGTACAAAAGCAAACACATATTCTAATCTCATATACAAATCATATAATCAGACTATTTTTTAAGAAATGAAATTTAATATTTATTATTTATTAGAAAATAAAAAAAATCCTACTTTAATAATAATATTAATGATATTAATGATTATGATGATGGTTATTATTATTAAGTAGGATATTGTTTATTTATATTATTTTTTATTTTAAGAAAAGTCTACTTTTACACTTTGACACTTGCAAACCACCGCAGAAATGTCCTAACCAACAGGCCCATGTCATATACAGTACAGATACTTAATAAACAACCGACTATAAATTAAAAGCATTACCGTGTGATATGTTTTTTGTTTTTAAAAGCTTCGGAGACGTAACATAGCCTAAATTCCGCTTTTAAATAATAGGTCAGGGCGAAGCAGTGGCGCATTAGGTAGTGCTGTCGCCTCCATCAAGAAGGTCGCTTGTTCGCTGGTTCGAGCCTTGGCTCAGTTGGCGTTTGTGTGGAGTTTGCATGTTCTCCCTGCGTTCGTGTGGGTTTCCTCCGGGTGCTCCGGTTTCCCCCACAGTCCAAAGACATGTGCTACAGGTAAATTGGGTAGGCTAAATTGTCCGTAGTGTGTGTGAATGTGTGTGTGGATGTTTCCCAGAGATGGGTTGCGGCTGGAAGGGCATCCGCTGCGTAAAAACTTGCTGGATAAGTTGGCAGTTAATTCCGCTGTGGCGACCCCGGATTAATAAAGGGGCTAAGCCGACAAGAAAATGAATGAATGAATAATAGGTCATCTATAGCTTTCGTCATTGGCCACGGCCGTGTTCTAATGTTTTCAAAGTGCACTGCGGCGCAAGCGCAATTGTAAACATGAAGATTGCTAAAACTGAACTGTAAAAATACTTTGAAAGCAAATTACACCTAAGAGAGATGACTTTAATGTTTGTTTGTTTTAATAATTCCAACTATAAATGTTAGAATGTTCTAAACGAATAGGGCACAGGGGGAATAAGTGGAAATACAACACAGCCAGAGTTGTAGTTTCCAGTGTTTAACAAACGTGATTTTGACGTAAGCTGCGTCCCAAATCGCATACTTATGCACTATTCTACGCCATTTTGTAGTATAAATATATAGTGTAAGTAGTGCGTTGACACTGAAAACTTAAAAAATAATAAGAGCACTTTAATTACGCGGATGATGCACTCATTTAGCCGCTAAAATGAAGTGTGTAATGATGGAAACTTCACGCACTCAACGACCGCAGGTTTGCTCACGTAGCGGAAGGGGCGGAGCTATCGGACGCACATGTTGGATAACTTTATTTATTTTGGATGTTGAAAGCAAAATTCTCCTACGAGAGTGATTATAGCACCTCCCGATGGTGAATGCGGTTATACTCACGGCAGGTATTATTTGATAATTCAGTCGTTTATTTCACTGATTTGGCGACCATCAAACGTCATCAGAGAAACGGTTTGAATTTCCGTTTAGTAAAAACACATTAGTGTGCCATTTGGGACAACACTACATACATGTACTATCCTGTTGAGTGTGTAAGTGCATAAGTGCATAGTGCATAGTGTATAGTGTATATAGGGACGCAGCTGTAGTTTGCGAATGTTTTTGGGAACGATAAATTTGGAAAACAGCAAATCAACGAACTCTGTTTGTAACTACGGAACTTGTGACATTAGTTGGTTAACGATGGTTTTCGGAAACGCACCCCTGCACAAGAAGTCTGGCCTGAGGAGAACTGATTGAGCACCAAACTAAGCCTGTTTTTGCTCAAGGTTTTTTTTCCTTCACTTTCGTAAATTGGTGAAGTATGTTTGTCACCACTGGCTTGCTTGTTTTGGGACTTGTGGACATCGATGGATTTGCTCTTCAGTGTTTTGGTGTTCAGCAGTGGAAATTAAACCACACTGAACTGAGCTAAGCTGAACTCTGAAAACTGGACTGGAGCAGTTTAAATTTACTTGAACTTCGTAAGCTGCTTTGACACAATCTACACTGTTAAAGCGCTATAGAAATAATTAAAGACGAACTGAATTGAATCACAACATATGGAAACTGCTAATTAACAGATCTATATTTTTACACTGTGGCTTTCCAGAACCCTTCATAAAGTCGTCATCATTTCTTTGGCTGCGTTTGATTTTCCCTCTTCTTTACCGGTATCATGATCCTCAGCATCTGCGTCAGTAAAGTTGAAGACGGGCACAGCATCGGTGCTGGGGCTGCATGTGGGCGAGCTCAGAGGCTCCAGCCCGCCGCCCATCGACATATACAGCGTTTCCCATTCGCTGAGACCCAGAGAGCTGCTCAGGTCGATATCCGGCACTAACAGATCCATGTCATCGCCGCTGTCTATAACACTGCTGATATCTTCCATGCACACATCCCTCATGTCGATGTACGGCTCCACCTCGGCAGCGCCCAGTTCAGCACTGGAGCACAGCAGGACGTCTGAGTCCCCGAAGATGGCAGCGCTGGTGGGATCGGCCTGCGGGGGCGAGGCGGGCACCTGCTCTGGCACACTGGCAGCTTGAGTCTTCTCCTCCTGGGCTGGAGCTGGTTCCTCATTCTCCGTCTCCTCTGTGAGTTTACAGTGTGGTTTGTGAGCTGAAAGGATGAGCTCCAGTCGCTCTTTTTCCTTCAGCAGGCTGGCGATCTCAGACTGCAGAGCCGCTTTGTCTTCTTCCAGACCGTCGGTTTCCTGGACAGATAAGGATTGTGGATTAATATATACAGTTGAAGTCAGAATTATTAGCCGCTCTGTACATTCCCAAAATATTATAGGAAATACTGTGAAAAAAAATTTTTTTGGGAAATAATTGACAAATAATTTCACAGGAGGGCGAATATTTTTGACTTCATCAGTATATACAATGACAATTATATAGTACAATTCTATAATACTAATATATACTATTAAGTTTCGTGTCATGCACAAAGTTTTCTTTTATGATGGAGGAAATTGCTGATTATCTTTTTGTACACTTACAGCTTGCAGGCTGTTGGTTAGATCTCGCCTACGATTTCGACACTTGGCAGCTGCGAGTTTATTTCTTTCCCTTCTGATTCTTTTTCTTTCCTCTTCCTCTGGAGAAAGCTGAAATAAAGAAATACACCACATTGGGAAGAAAATGCTGCTTTGCCTACTTTAAAATTTCCAGAATAAGTTTTCAAAACAGGAAAATATTGATAATTACATCAATTTAAAAATGCAGCTAATTTAAAGGCAAAAATATCTGTCAGTTACTTTAAAACAATATTTAACCCGTAGCAACCCAAAGAAATTGGGTTGTCAGCTTAATTTTTCCACACTAATGAAGTTTCGTATTTTTAAGTCCACACACTGATGTTTTTTGTTATTTTTTAAACTGATAATATGGGACTTTACATGTTTTTGTTTTGTAAAACAATGAAAACCTGTGGTTTAATACACATAAAAGTTACCGGAAAACAAAAATGTTGTTGTTAAATGTATTTCTTACAAGCCTGAACAGTACATTTAAAAACAAACAAAAAATTTACAATTTCAGCTACTTTATTTATTTGAGGTTCTAAACTTGATAACGTGCAACTACGTACATAACACTGGATTTGTTTTCAATTTTAATTTGAAAAATCTAATTGAAACAACTTATTTTTTAGAGTAATCGACTTAAAAGTTTGAGTTTTTTGCTATGTAAAATGCCTCTGATTGAAGAGGAAAAGATTTGGTTAACATAATAAAGCTTGCTGTCTGAACCTCACTTTGTTTGATAGTGTCGTAACTTGAATATATTAATGCAAACTCTTGCGTTAATTTTTTTTTGTTTTGTTTAAACAATACTTTTTAGAGTGTAGTTAAAACAACCTTTTTTCTTAGTTTAAAGAACAAATAAATATTCTGAAGAAGCTTTTTTTCTGCCAAAAATACTATTGGAAAGGTTTTGTAAAAACAAAAAGTTCTTAAAGGTTCTTAATAGTTTCCTAAAAATCTAAATTCTGTCTATTTACTCAGCACTTAATTATTTTGAGTCAGGTTGGGTTTTTTTTTTTTTTCTCTCTGTTGAAAACAGCAGATATTTTAAAGAATGTTAGAAACCAGTCACCATTGACTTACATATTTGTTTTCTCTACTATGGATTGTAACAGGTTTTGAAAATCTTTTGTGTTCAACAACATCAACAACAAAAAAGGGTGATTTAAAGGGGCGCTCCGCTACGATGTAATGTAGCTGTGTGAACATAAACAACATCTCTTCATGTAAGACACTCAAAGTTCAATGCAAAGGGAGACATCAGTTTTAAAAAAGTTAACAAAATGATCATACTAAGTTAAAAGCAACGCTAAAAAGTTGAGTCTTAAGAAGTTTCTTTAAACAGTCCAGAGAAGCGGCATTCCTAATGCGGATTCTAATGAGAAAGCCCTACCACCCATAGTCTTGAGTTTACAGTGTGGCTGATACAGCGTAATACCAGATGAAGAACATTTCATTGTATATTTACAAAGTACAAAGTAAATATACAATTAAAGGATTTTTTTTAAGTCATTAAGATGTGACATTCTAACATTAAACAAAATTATATATATATATATATATATATATACAGTGCTCAGCATAGTTGAGTACAGCCCATTTTTAATATTTTTATCCATTACTCAGTGAATGTATTTTGGTGCTTTTTAACAGGTCAGATTTATTAAACATATATATATATATATTAAAATAATATTTTAGTCATCAAACATATTTAGAAATTGAAAGATAATACAATAAATTCAAGCTAATTATTGCAAAAAAAATTTACAAATGACAAAATTTCAACTAAATTCTTCAATTTAGTTTGCTTCTCTTGATTTTTTCTCTTTTTAAATATATATTTAATATTTTTTTATAACATATAAATTTGTGTGTACTAGTTTTTGCACCTTTATTGTAAGTTATTTTGTTAGAATAGCTCCGGATTTAGCTTAAGTGCTGACTAATCTAAGGTATATACACAAATATAATAGAGTAGAGCTTCTTATTAAAAATATGAATTTAAACGGGTGTAGTGCTGAGCACTGAAATCAGAATTATTAGCCCCCTTCGTTTTTTTTTTTCTTCTTCTTTTAAATATTTCCCAAATGATTCTTAACAGAGCAAGGAAATTTTCAAAGTATGTCTGATAATATTTTTTCTTCTGAAAAAAGTCTTATTTGTTTTATTTCGGCTAGAATAAAAGCAGCTTTTAATTAAAAAAAAAAAACATTTTAGGAATAAAATTTTAGCTCCTTTAAGCTATTTTTTTCCTCGATAGTCTACAGAACAAACCATTGTTATACAATAACTTACCCAATTACCCTAACCTACCTAGTTAACCTAATTAACCTAGTTAAACCTTTAAATGTCTCTTCAAGCTGTATAGAAGTGTCGTGAAAAATATCTTGTCAAATATTTTTTACTGTCATCATGACAAAGATAAAATAAATCAGTTATTAGAAATGAGTTATTAAAACTATTATGCTTAGAAATGTGTTTAAAAAAAAAATCTGCTTTCTATTAAACAGAAATTGGGGAAAAAAATAAACAAGCGGTCTAATAATTCAGGGGGGGCTAATAATTCTGCCTTGTATATATATATACATAAATCATCCGATGAAGTAAGTGTTTACCTGATCCTTTGCCCCCTTTCTCCTGCCAGTGAAGGTCTTTCGAGCAGCTTTGGCATCTGTGGAGTGAGATGAGCTCTGTGTTTTCTGCTGTCTGCAGGGTGACACTGAAGAGATGTCAGTCGACAGGACCATCCACTTGAGATCTGGAGCTGAAGCAACAGCAGTGACCGTAGGAACAAAGGCAGCATCAGCATCCTTCAAAACACCTGCCTTCTGAGAAAGAGAAGAGATGTGTTCACCACCACCACCACCACCACATATGAGCATTCAGAACAAAACTACATATGAACACAACTGACATGTGTCTGACTGTACAGAAATATTAGACAACATGCATCACTAATCCCACAGCTCAATGAAATAATCCCCATTCCAGGTAAATGTGCAGTCTGGTGGTACCTGCGTATCCTTCATCCCAGCAGCTGATGTGTGCAGCAGCTGTTCTGCAGAAACACTCGCGTTTTTTGGCATCACTAATGCTACTGTAGGTCGCGCCAGGAAAATGCTGGAAACCGAATTAATATATGAGCAATGTCAACAAATGCAGGCTTTTGGAGGAAGGCAGGAAAAAATAAATCTCTAGACTGAGGTTACTACGCTAGGAGGCACCAGCCATCAGCGCTTCTTCTCTTTATAGTGAGGCAGATTTTTATGAATGAAATCTGTGAGACTGTACCACTGCTCCCGGAGGGGGGGACGGTTAAGCACGAGCCAGATAAATAATGACGGCAGTCACAAGATTTCAACAACACAACACGATGCTTGGTTTAATACAGCTTATAATGCGCTTATATAAAGCATATGATGTATTTAAATGTTTATTTTAGTGGATCCAAACGCTGCAGCTTTCACATGAATGAACACCATACGTCATTTTACGTGCCTTGTTTGCAGCCTGTCTCTGTGAGGGTATGATTTATGCATATTACCGAGATCTACACGTCTGATATCGCTTATTTGCATTTCGATGTCCTCTCAAGTCGCACAATCAATGCAATGCAATGCGCATCATCATCATCACAATGCAATAAAGCGCCCTTCAATGAGATGTCAGGTTATAAACAATGAAATAGCCGCTTTGATTCGTCCACCGCGCCCTTTCTATTAAAAACTGTGATTTTTCGTATCCTTTGTCAATTATAATGATGGATCTCCCACTCAGAGCGCTCCAGCAACAACCCTGTCGCTAATGCGAGCAGCCAATCAGCGAGCCGCATGTCTTGCCCATATAAGGCACGTCCGGTTTGGAGCCTCTAGCTGCAGAGCGCTACTGCGGCACAGCCTATTTTTATCATATCACACTTAATTCAATGACATTCTTATGACGACATCACCGCCAAGTACCCAAAATAATCTCTGTGTGTGTTTTTAGTTCTTCTAAATGAAAGTAGGAGATTTCAAAACAATCTGGGGTCAGGAATTAACCATTGTTCTGTCTGTGATGTTATAGGTCTGCACGCACACACACACGCACACACACACACACATTAAAGGGCTGTGATATGTTTTAATTCGCACTTGGACTGGAAGAAAACGCTGTTGTTGTGCTTCATAAACCTGTGTGAAAATCTCTATTCATAGCTCAGATGAGGTAATCCTGCTTTCAGACGAGGGCGTGTGATGAGGGGCCTCCCTTCTGTCCACAGTCCAAGTGTTTCCCGGCAGAGCCGCCTCTGGCTTCTGATCTGTGATCCTCGTGAAGGGAACAGGGCAGCATGAAGGGTCATTTCTGTAAAAACAGCATCATATAACAAACAAAGCTTGTTACCATTGATTTTTGTTAAATAATCAATTAGAAATAAATACAAAAGTTAATATTGATAATATTAAATTTAAAAATGAGTATATAATTTCATTTTCACGAAGATGGCTGTATTTACATGCCCTCAAGCTTTTGCTTATGCTCACATAACATTTTTCTTTGTTAAAAAATGTTATTTAAACTACTATTTTTTCAATTATAAACAAATAAAAAAGTTAATAATAAATATAATAATAATAATAATAATGTTACATTTGAAATCTTTTGGATATGTTTATATGTAAAAACACAACATTTATCAACTGAAAACCGGCCATTAAAAATTATATATATATATATATATATATATATATATATATATATATATATATATATATATATATATATATATATATATATATAATTTATTTATTTATTTTTTTTTTTTTTTGCTGTTTTTAGTAGTAGTAAACTTTATTGTCTTTAACAGGGAATTTGTTGAGCATCACCATATTGCTGCAGATATTCCATAAAAACAAACGTTAAAAACAATACAAAATACAGTAGCTACAATAATTTTAATCCTAATAAAGATCAATTCTTGTTAAATAAACCCACTGAAACAGGTACAAAGGATTTCTTATATCGGTTGAGAGGGAAGCATTTCATAATATGCAATCTAAGTTGGATCATTCAGAATCCTTTCCACCTGATTAAGAACACAATTCCCGCATCCTGTCTTAAAGAGATGCATCAACTTAGATTTACACTGTTCAACGACTTATTTAGACTGAGCTGAAACAACAGAACTCTTGAGATTTGTTCTCAACTTAATTGTTTTATGTTCAATGCACTTAAATTTTCCAACTTAATCGATTTGTGTTGGGATAACATGGATGAATTGTGCAAAACCGTGCATTTCACAGTGTACTTCCAGTATTATGTCAAATGTTACTCATTCATTTATTTTCTTTTTGGCTTAGTCCCTTTATTAGCAGAATGAACCGCTAATCCAGCATATGTTTCAAACAACGGATGCCCTTCCAAGTGCAATGCAACACCAGGTATAGCAATTAATATTATAAAAAGTTTTTTATTTTTAAAAATTATTTTAATAATTACAACATTTCCCTTTCATTTTCATGAAGGATTCCATGGCTTGTCTGCAATCATGTGTTCAAAGCTTCATACATAAAAGCATGATGTCATAATGACATCATCCTTTCATGTTCAAATTCTTCAAGGACATTTCCAGCTTTTTAAACTTAGCCCCTTATCTCCTGTACACATTGTACACACTACAGCTTTGACAAAATGTCACCTATGATAATTAATCAGAAATAAATATAAAAGTAAATATTATAATTTTATTAAATAAAAAAACTTGTATTTTAATCTTATTTTCATGAGGATCCCCGTATTTACCTGTCCACAATCCTTTGCTTATGTTCATATGTAAAAACATCGATCAACAGAAAACCTACCATTAAAAAAACTAATATATTTTTTGAGGTTTGTTCAAAATATATTTATTTAAAATGTGCTGAAACAACAAAACTCTTGAGATATTTTTGGACAACTTAATTGTTTTGTGTTCAGTGCACTTAAACTTGATCTATTTGTGTTGGATTAACATGCATGAATTGTGTGGAAAGCTGCACTTTAAAAAGCATAAGTTGACTCAACTTAAAAATTTAAGGCAACAAACGTCAGGACATTTTGGATTGTACTCAACTTAAATACAGTCATGTGAAATAACTGACTTGAAAGTTGAGTTGGGTTGAAGTTATTTGGCTTAAAATATTAAGATGAGTCAACTTTGGGCTTTTTACAGTGCATTTTTTAACAGTGCACTTCCAATATTATGTGAATTATTATTATAAAAGTATTTTATTTTTTTAATTAGTTTAATAATCACAACATTTCCCTTTCACTTTCATGAGGATTCCATGGCTTGACCTCATTCATGTGATTAAAGCTTCATACATATAAGCATGATTTCATAATGACATCATCCTTTCATGTTTAAATTCTTCAAGGACATTTCCAGCTTTCTAAACTTTTATCATGTAGATTGTACATGCTATAGCTTTAACAAAATGTCACCTACGATAATTAATTAGAAATAAATATAAAAGATAATATTATATTAAATTAAAAAATGAGTATTTTAAAATCATTTCCACAAGGATGCCTGTATTTACCTTTCAACAATCCTTTGCTTATGTTCACATGTACCAACATACATATATATTTTTGTTTAAAATAAAATAAAGTTTAATTAAACTAGTATTTTTAAATTATAAAATACTTAGATTATAAATAACAAAAAATAAAATACATAAACATTTGATAACAGTATAATAATAATTTAACAGTTAAAAGTTGGTATTTTAATTTCATTTTCATGAGGATGGCTGTATCTACCTGTCCACAATCCTTTGCTTATGTTCACATGTACCATCACATTTTTTGTTAAAAAATGTTTTATTTAAAGTAGTATTTTCAATCTTAAAATATTTTTTAATTATAAATATTTTTTAATAATAATAATATGTATTAATAATGTTAAATTTAAAAATTTGCATTTTCATTTCATTTTCTCATGAGGATGTATATACCCATCCACAATGTTCACATGTACCAACATATATGTATTTTTGTTTAAAATTTTTTTTAATTAAACTAGTATTTTCAATTATAAAATACTTTATTTAAATGATAAATAATAAAAATGTATTTACAAAAAAAATTATAATAATATATTATAAATTTAAAAATGTGTATTTTAATTTTATTTTCATAAGGATGGCTGTATTTACCTGTCCACAATCCTTTTGTTCACATGTCACATGTATAATTAAACTAGTATTTTTCAATGATAAAATACTTTATTCCAATTATAATTGAATAAAAATTTAAGAAATTACAAATCTAATAATAATATATAATTAATAATAATAATAATAATAATAATAATAATAATAATAATAATAATAATAATAATAATGTTTAAATTCTTCAGGGACATTTCCAGCTTTCTAAACTTTTATCTCGCACATATTGTAAATGCTATAGCTTTAACAAAATGTCACCTACTATTCGATAATCACACAGTTGTGTTACTATGCTTATGTAAGGTGACTAAACCTTATAAATTGCTTATTAAAACTGGATGTGTGTAAATACATCAGCATTTAAGAATACGTCTAAGCATTGTAGACTCGTGACCTTGAGAACAAGCAAATGCTAAATGAACTAGAGAACTGGCGCAGTGTAAATTCTTCACATTTACAGACAAACATTTCATGTTAAACATCTAGAAAAGGGTTAAAGGTGTCGGATGTGGAAGTCAAAAGCATTTATTGTGTTTATACCAAAACTATTTTCGACTATAAAACGTTGCAATTTAGTTTTTTGCTACCCGTAAAGTATACACAATCAAAGCGGCGTGTTTATTTACCGGCAATACACAAAGCAGACTCTCGCTGCTGAAAGGTGAAACTTCAGAGTTCATTTGCACAGGCTCGTGTTGCAGTGACGACAGTGGGAGGGGCGTCGCTTAGACAACGCGGAAGATCAAACAAAACACGAGCAGAGAAGTGGATCAGTGACGTCACATGGGAACGCTGATAGAGCTGTTTTCGCTTGTTAATCAATAACAAACCTCATGTTTGCCCGTAGCCAACGGCAGACAAGTAATAAACGAAGACTTTTATACATGATAAACGTATAAATACGGACAATTAATGATGAGCAATACAAAAATGGTCCCTAAATAAACATGATTGAACTGATGTAGATGATTTTAATACATAATATAGTGATTCATATATTTTATTAAATATACTATAACGTATATATTGAAAAATGTATTGAATATAGCAGATTTAACACATTTAGACTACTACAAATCTTGCATTATTATTATTTACTGTGATGCAATAGGCTGAGGAAATAAATGAGCTCAGCATTTTGTTACAAAGGAATCCCTCGTTAACCGTGTGAAGGCAGTTCACACTGGAAATACGTGGTTTATGAGTCGACACGCCCTTTATACACCCAAAGGTACGAACACAGCCCGGGGCATGAAAGACTTTGAATACTTCTGCACAGAAATGATGAAATCTAGGACAACAGGTGCCATGTAAACACAGCATGGACGTGATATGTACTTAAAAAGACATATTCAATTTTGATCAAATGATTGTGTCAAGAAAATAATATAAAGTCATTAAATCAAGTTCATAAACTATAATAAAAATACATTTAGAGCTGATATAATAAGTATATTCTGTTAAATGCTGTTTTTATTTATTTATTTACTTGTAAAACATTGAAATCTTCTCGAACTATCTTTACATAATGCTGCTCACTTGCACAGAGTATTTCCCATAAGCACTCCGCCTCTTCAGGATGTTTTCCATATAAGTTAAATGACGTCTTGGGATACCCTGCTACGGAACATCGTCTCTTTCACTCCGTTTCACCCAGAAATAACAACATGCGAATGTTTTTAAAGATAAAATCTTACGTATTAAGCGTGTATTCTTGCATTATTAATGTTTCGATAATGTATTCAGTAAAATGCGCTCGCGAAGACGTGTTTTTAACGTTTCTATGCAAACACTGAACGCACATGGCCACGCCCCTCCCTTTGACGTCAGGCACAGATCTGGATATAAACCCCGCGAGCGCTGTGGAGCGGCAGTCAAACTTTGGATACCAAAACAGAGAAAAGAGCAGCAGACGAGCAAGGAAATACAAGACCGGAGCGTTTTTAACTTTCTGGATATATTAGCGCTGGATAGCTCGTGCTTTTCGACTTTTGACAGGATGATGTTTACCAGCCTTAACGCCGACTGCGACGCGTCTTCCCGGTGCAGCACGGCTTCACCGAGCGGCGACAGCGTCGGGTATTACCCGCTCAACCAGACTCAGGTATTTACATGACAGCAATATATTTAGAATGATCATTTCAGATAAATCATGATTTAAGTCAGTTTATTTATGTTTTTAAAGTATATTATGTTCTGTATTATGTTATAATCTGAATGAAACCCCATAAACAGTAATATAAACAAATAAATTGTATATATATTAGTTTTGTGACTAATCAAAATATATTGTTTATCATATAATAAACGATTTCATATTCTATATTTCAGGAGTTCACGGATCTGAGTGTCTCAAGTGCCTCTTTCGTGCCAACTGTCACGGCGATCTCTTCATGCCCGGACTTGCAGTGGATGGTCCAGCCCATGATCTCCTCTGTGGCGCCCTCCAACGGCGCAGCTCAATCCTACAACCCGAGCTCTTACCCCAAAATGAGGGTTACTGGAGCAAAGACCTCCAACAAGAGAAGCAGATCTGAACAGGTAAATAATTTGCAATTAACTTTTGTTTTAAAATCAACTGACAAACAACTGACAATCTACATTTTGAATGTTAATTTGCCAATGCTAAAACACCCTTATTTTTGTGCTTCTGCAGCTTTCTCCAGAAGAAGAAGAGAAGAAAAGAGTACGTCGTGAACGAAACAAGATGGCTGCTGCGAAATGCCGCAACCGTCGACGTGAACTCACCGATACACTGCAAGCTGTAAGTATTCTGCATTTTCCCTCCAAATCCCATTCTAGCTCGTTCCATCCATGACATCATTAAACTAACCCTTTGATGTTCCACAACAGGAAACTGACCAGCTTGAGGATGAAAAATCCGCCCTGCAGAACGACATCGCCAACCTGCTCAAAGAAAAAGAGAGGTTAGAGTTCATCCTCGCCGCACACAAACCCATCTGCAAGATCCCGGCCGACGCCAGCTTCCCAGAGCCGTCCTCCTCTCCCATGGGCTCCATCTCAGTCCCAGAGATCGTCACTACCTCAGTGGTCTCTTCCACACCAAACACATCAATCACGACCTCTTCCAGCAGCCTGCTGTTCTCCAGCACGGCCTCCACCGACAGCTTCAGCTCCACCACAGTGAAGATCTCTGATCTGGAGCCCACTCTAGAGGAGTCTCTGGAGCTCCTGGCTAAAGCGGAGCTGGAAACGGCTCGCTCGGTTCCAGACATGGACCTGTCCAACTCTCTGTACACTCAAGACTGGGAGCCGCTCTACACGCCGGCTAACACTGACCTGGAGCCGCTTTGCACACCCGTCGTCACCTGCACTCCAGCCTGCACCACCTACACGTCTTCCTTCATGTTCACCTACCCAGAAAACGACGTCTTCCCGACATCAGTGCATCGCAGGGGCAGCAGCAGCAACGATCAGTCGTCCGACTCCTTGAATTCCCCAACCCTCCTCACTCTTTGAGATTCCACTAAAGACTATTAGTATTTATATCTGTGACTTGATTTCGAATGGCATTGCAGGGCTATGGAAGTGACTCTAAAGCAATGGATATTGCTTCCTATATTTATCTGAACCATACATGCCTGCCACATGTAGCAAGATAAGCATGGATCAACTGATTTTATTTGCATTAATGATCTGGTTAGTGTTGAGTTAACCTAATATAGTTATTTTTCTGAGTTTACCGGTGCTAGATTTGTTGTATTTAGTGTGTTCTGAGCAATAGAGAACTATCATGTTATTTTTTTTCGGCCGTTTAACGGTTGATTTCTGAACGTGTGAATGTTGTTTACTCAAATGTGTGCTGCCTAACCATTGCATTAAATGGTCTGACGTCCAAGTATGAAGTTTTCTGTGAAAACGTAGTCTCTCTTTTAATTTATGGAGTTTTTATTTTTGTACTGAAATGTGAACTTGCGAATTGTTTGCAAAAAACAAACAAAAAAAACTAGACACAATAAATATTAAATGTATAAACTAAAAGATTTGTGTGAATGCGAGCTTATTGTGTGGCTTGAAAATACAGTTTACAGCAGTGTTTCCCAACCATGTTCCTGAAGGACAACCAACACTGCACATTTGTTGCTAGATCAAATACGGTTGAGGATGGAAGTTAACTAAGTAGACTGAGAAGGCTGTTATCGTCCATCCACATGGTTAATCATCTATAGATCACATATGGTTGCGGCCGGATGTTAGCGAGATTTATATTATTTATTAAATTTCCTATTAATTGTATTCTATTAACGGCTTCCCCCACCCCAACTATCACAGTAATGTAAAAACAGTCGATGTATGGAGTATTACTTATGCTATCTGTTAAAATAATTCATTCATTTTCTTGTCGGCTTAGCCCCTTTATTAATTTGGGGTCGCCACAGCGGAATGAACCGCCAACTTATCCAGCACGTTTTTATGCAGCGAATGCCCTTCCAGCTGCAACCCATTCCTGGGAAAGCTATCTATTAAATTACCCAATACATTTTATTTTTTAATACCCACCCCCAACCAAACCTAACAATCACAGTACTGTAAAGATATTAATTATTGTTATAGAGTGTCATTAAAAAACGCTGCTATATTGATGTGCATATCGCACCTCCAGCCGGCCACATATCCAATGTAGACTTTACTGTCTCCTTTAGCTGTCACACCCATCACAGGTCTTTCAGTCTCTGCTAATGGTCTGAATTAGGTGTGTTTGGTTAAGGAGACATAGAGCTGGTGGTTGAGAAACACTGATCTACAGAATTCAGCTCGGTAAGATTTCTTTGTAAAGCGATGGCTAAGACATTTAGCTCAATAAAGTACTAATTAGCTGCTTATTATTAGTTAGTAAAATAGTAGTTGGGTTTAGGTATGGGGTAAATGGATGTAGAATAAGCTCATACTTTATAAGCTCTAACAAAGAGTCCATATTTTAATAATAAACAGGTAATAAGACAGTAGTTAATAGAGGGAATTGGTGTTAAATTGCTAAGGTATTAATGAAATAATATCTAAATCCAGAGAGGATAGATTAGCTGATCATAAGTGACAGTAAAGTACATTTAAAAAAAAAAGGCTCAGTAAAGATTTCTGAAAAAATGCATATATATATATATATATATATATATATATATATATATATATATATATATATATATATATATATATATATATATATATATATAAATGAGCAATATCACACGAGTAGCAGTGCGATATGGCTGTATATCGGCACTAGTAGGAGGCGTGCGCCTTAGTGTCCTAACCAGTGCCGATATACAGCTATTTCGCACTGCTACAAGTGTGATATTGTGTTTATACAACAGTTTGACGGCAATATTGTGTATATAAAAACAAAATCAAACTTGGAGAGTCTCAAAAACCCTTTGGTATGAGGAACTACTTTCTTCCGCATTGGATTCAAATTATAAGCTGACAGTTGAACAGCTGAGCGTGCATCTTTTCAACTTGGGATCTGTAGTGTCTGCTTTTTGCTGGCTGTATGTGGGCGGAGTAATACACAAAGGGTAAAAAGGCTGTACGGGGTGCTGATATTACTTAAATATATCACGGCTATCAGCCAATCAGATTCGAGAACCAGACAGAACTGTTTTATAAATGAATAAATAAATAAATATATAAATATATATATATATATATATATATATATATATATATATATATATATATATATATATACCCACATATATATATATATATATATATATATATTAAAAATAGATATTGAAAACACCTATTTTTTAAGTTGTTTGGTAAATAAATAATAATAGTTATTTCTGATTAAATAAATGCAGCCAAAATGGACTTTAAAAAACATTCATAAGTCACACCGTCCCTAAAGATTAAACAGTAGCTAATGTGTCAGACGTCTGCGTTTCACAATCTTTTTATAGTCATATTTTGGCCTTGTAATGATCTGAATTCTTCAAACCACACCCTAATATTTTTCCTGTTAACCTTTAAACTGATTAGACGATCAAGTTCATGATCTCTGATTAAGTATACACATTAAACATCAAATTAATTTATAAAAGAAGCCCTAAAAGAAAATGTGAAGTTACATTCTCCACTTCATCCCGATACGTGAGACGTACTTTATCTACAGACATGACAGAGGAAATGATGTTGTTTATGTGCGTAATAGACTGTGACGCAATCCTGCCCTCACTTCCTTCCTCATTCACGCTTATCTCGATTGCATACTAAGTTAAACCTCAAGAATGTGACGATGTTCCTCCTTTTTCACGTGCTTTTAATGCTGATTTGGCTCTTAATGCAGATATTAAAATCATACTTTTAATTGCATAGGATTGAATGGAGAGATAAAAGCAACTGCAAAAGATTAAATAGAAAGGTTACTTTTTAACAAGTTAATGTAAGTGTATATATTCACTAATATGAACAGTATTTATTAATTATAGTTCAACTCATGCATTATTAAAATGCAAAATTGTGCTTGTTAACACTAGATAATGCACAGAGAGTTAACATGAGCAACTTTAGTTTCATTAACTAACATTAACAAAAATCAATAAAATTTTGTAATAAATGATAAATAAACGTCACATTTTTATGACAAGAGCACTGTGGTACATCCGACAGATCCCACTATCTTTCTTTCTTTCTGTCTGTGTGTCTAATTTCTTTCTGTCTTTGTTTGTTAATTTCTTTCTTTCTTCTTTCTTTCTTTACTTACTTTCTTACTATTTTCTTTCTTCTTATTTCTTTCTTTCTTTTTTCTTACTTTCTTTCATATTTCTTTCTTTCTTTCTTTCTTTACTTACATTCTTACTTTTTTCTTTCTTTCTTTTTTCTTTCTTCATATTTCTTTCTTTCTTTCTTTCTTTTTTCTTTCTTCATATTTCTTTCTTTCTTTCTTTCTTTTTTCTTTCTTCATATTTCTTTCTTTCTTTCTTTCTTTTTTCTTTCTTCTTATTTCTTTCTTTCTTCTTTCTTTCTGTCTTTCTTTTTTCTTACTTTCTTTCTTATTTCTTTCTTTCTTCTTTCTTTCTTCTTTTTTTTATAATCCGTTTAAACCTGTTTTAATCTGCTTTGAATAATTTTAATGCTTTGTTGTTTTATTACACTTACACTCACCGGCCACTTTATTAGGTACACCCGTTCAACTGCTCATTAATACAAATTTCTAATCAGTCAATCACATTGCAACAACTCAATGCATTTAGGCATGTAGACACGGTCAAGACGATCTGCTGCAGTTCAAACTGAGCATCAGAATGGAGAAGAAAGGTGATTTAAGTCACTTTGAATGTGGCATGGTTGTTGGTGCCAGACGGGCTGATCTGAGTATTTCAGAAACTGATGATCTACTGGGATTTTCACGCACAGCCATCTTTAGAGCTTACTGAGAATGGTTTGAAAAAGAGAAAACATCCAGTGAGCGGCAGTTCTGTGGTAGCAAATACCTTGTTTATGCCAGAGGTCAAATGAGAATGGCCAGACTGGTTCCAGCTAATAGTAAGTCAACAGTAACTCAATGGACCACTTGTTACAGCCGAGGTCTGCAGAAGAGCATCTCTGTCTGCACAACACGTCCAACCTTGAGGAGGATGGTCTACAGCAGCAGAAGACCACACCTGTCAGCTAAGAACAGGAAATACAGTTCATAAAGCACAAACCATCTCAGACTGATTTCTTGAACATGACAATGAGTTCACTGTACTCAAATGGAACAGGAGTTTCTCATCATGGATGTGCAGCCGACAAATCTGCAGCAACTGCGTGATGCTATCATGTCAATATGAAGGAAAATCTCTGAGGAATATTACCAGTATCTTGTTGAATCTTTGCCACGAAGGATTAAGGTCGTTCTGAAGGCAAAAGTGGGTCCACCCGTACTAGTAAGGTGTACCTAATAAAGAGGCCGGTAAGTGTTTATGTGTAATTATTTCATGATTCTTTAAATCTGGTTCATATAAAACCCTTTTAATTAAAATATGTATGAAAAGTGCGGAAAAAATAAACTTGTGTTATCATTGTTTGCTCGTGTTAGTAAACGCACATCTACGCAAATCTAACATGAACTAATGGAACTTCTTTGTGAAGTGTTTCCAAATAAATTGCTTTTTTAACATCGATGCTCAAAACTAGCGCTTTATATCTCTAACAGCAGACACCGGCACTCAGTGAGAGAGTGTCCCTGACGTAAAAATCACGTAGTACGTAATAATTCCCTGTCTATTAATACAATTGGCGGACCCTAGAGAGAGGCAGAGACAGAAATAGCAGGTGCGCTGCTTTCACCATCAGCATCAACAGCAGTAAAATTAGCACACGGTGACGCCGACCTGCGTCGATGCTGCAGCCCAGGGGAGGAAACAGACAGGCAGCGTAAAAAAGCAGGAGAAAAAGGGAAGGAAAAAAAGGCAGAGAGAATCCAGGCTAAAGATAGACCATAATGCACAGCTCCCTCACTGCTGGATTGACGCCATTTTCTACCTCGTCTGCTGGAAAATTGTTTGACGGAGGCATGAGCAGAGACTGTTCACAATAAATCCGTACAGCTGGTAGAGGATCTCCAATACTGGTTATAGATAATAAGGAAATGCCTTAGTAATTTAACACTAGTCAACTCTATGCAGTAAATATATATCGCATTTGTCTGTGAATAATTGCATGATAATGTCCTGAAAGGCTTGTTTTTGACTTCTTAGCTGATCTGCTATGACCATTTAATCTCTGTATAAATACAGGTCATTAGTATTGTGTCAGTAAAAGAAACTATTACAGAAATATTGTAAGAAAATATATTAGTAAAATATAATGCAAATTTAAATAATATTAGATTCAATTTTGCTTCTTTATTTTACAGGGGTATTTGTGACCCTGCTGTTTCTTGTTAATGAAATTGAGATTTTTGCATCATCTGAAAGCTGAATAAATAAGATTTCCATACTTTATTGGAATATCAGAGACACAATTATTCATTCATTCATTCATTCATTTCAGCTTAG